AAAAAAAAAAAAAAAAAAAAAAAAAAAAAAAAAAAAAAACCTTGGGAAAAAAATATTTGTCCCACCAGAAATAATAAAAGTTCTATGGTCCAGCCTATTAGCTGCTCTTTTGTGCATAACAGCACTGCTAGTGGATGCTACCATTTATTTACTTACCATGTCACCTAACAAGAGCATTTATATTGAGAGGTGTAAGATTCATTCATTTGACAAATATATACTGAATGTCCAGCAAGTGCCAGACACTGTGTTAGGTCCTGGGGATTTATCAGGGAACAAGACAAGATCCCTATACTTTGAAGCTTATATTCTACAGAGAGAGACTGGGGGGAAAAGTAGGGGAAAAAATCCCACCAAAATAAACTAATAAGCAAATTCATTACATACTATGATTAGAGCTATAAAGAAAACAAACAGATAATGAGCAGAAAGTGCTGGAGGCGGCCCATTTAGATAGGATGGTCTGAGCGATCCTCTCTGAGGAAGTAGCACCTGAGTTGAGACAGGCAGGAGCTTGAACACGGTTTTTCAGGCAAAAAGAACAAATGCGAAGTTTCAGAGGCAGAAACGAATTGCTATTTGTGAACAACATGGAGCTCTTTGGAGCAGCTGAGTCTCTCTCCCAGAAAGGGGGGGGAACAATTATATGAAAGGAGGCTAAACATGTAGGGAGAAGTCAGATTATGCAGGGTTTTGCAGGTCATGGCAAGGAACATTAATAATGTTCTTTGAAGACGGGGCTTTTAGCAGCAGAAATAATATAAAATATAAGCCAGAAGACTTAGGTCAAAGTTGAAATTTAATCACATACTAGCTATGTGACCACAGGAAAGATACTTCACCGCTCTGCCTCAGTTTCTGTAGCTGTAAAACATCCATTTACCTCAAAAAAGTTTTGCAAGGATCAAATTGGATAGTATACACAAACATAATTTACAACTTGAACTGTTATAAAAAGGGATACGGTATTGCCCAGAAGAAAATAAGAGCCACTTGAGGACAATTACCTGGCAGAGCAGTGTGCTGGTGAACACCTTCGGTGAGAAGCATCAGCAAGAACATCCAGGGAGTACAGAGGAGAAAGGGGATTAAACTGTGGGAACAAATAAGATTGCTTTAATAAGGTTTATATGAAACAGACCTGATCTCAAAGGGTAACCTACTATTTGATTATTTTTCCCCTTTAACTGACCATTCCTTTGTCATACCAAATACAGACAGCATTCAATAAAGGTACAGACATTTAATAGTATACCCATGACTATAGCATGCCTGATCATTTTTTAGTCACACCTAAAAAAAAATTAAAAGACTATTCCTTGTTAAAGAACAACTTTTCAAAAACTTCAGATATACTATAATCCTTTAAATGGCAGAAGACAGTACTTTCCAACTGACATAGCAAGAACTTATGCCTATTGATTATCAACTATGTATTAGCCCTTGTTCCAAAGAAGATTAGCATGAAATTACCTTTTCATTTCCTTACCCTGGCAAAATGTTTCTGAGAACAACTGGTTAGCACATACCAGCACCATAGTATAGTGGAAAGAGAACTGGACTAAGAATTAGGATATCTAACTTTTAGTACCAAACTACCACTGAGTTGCTGCGTGTTAAAAATAACATAACCTTGGAACCAGGGTCACCTGGGTGAGGAGGAAGGCTGTGGCAGTCACATTCTGGCCAGGCTCACTGCAGGCGCCCCAGCACGCCAACAGCAGGAAAAAAAAAATGATATAATCTCTTTCAGTTTTACTGTCCTCATCTGTAAAATGGATGTATTGCTATTTGTCTTATCTATTTTACAGGATTATTGTGAGAGCTAAATGAAATATTGCCTTCAGGATACAAAGTAATTTCAGTTTCTCATCTGTAAAATGGATGTATTGCTATTTGTCTTATCTATTTTACAGGATTATTGTGAGAGCTAAATGAAATATTGCCTTCAGGATACAAAGTAATTTCAGTTTCTCATCTGTAAAATATCTATTGACCTCGAATGG